TTAAAAATGAGTCAAATTATTGCTGATTTCGTTATACACCAGTAGACAAAATTATGGTCAAAATCAGCAGAGGTGCAAGCACCATAAATTATAAACTCAGTTATTATATTGCGCGAATCAAAATATGAAATTATTAGATGTATAACACGACTAGATGGATAATAGTCACGGAGGATAGCTGACCCCCATAATACAGAGTTGTTCTAATATCGGAACTCAGTGATCAATTATTTTGTATTAAACTACACCCTTATTGCACCTTGTTTAATTTAACTTAGCTATATTGTTTTAGGCTTTGCTCAATACATTTTATTAACAATTATTATTAACGCAGACGATGACTCTTCTTTTACATAAAATTAATTAAACCCAACGATATCTATGTACCTACTAGCGTGTTTTTAATGAAAATTCGAAAGTATTTTGAATGCAATTTTACAAAATTTCATTTTGCAGTTTTGGATATATCTTTCTCAATTAAATGACGAACTTAGAACTCTTAAAACACAATAAAACTTTTGAAATTCTTGGAACAAACTTCATGTAAAATTATAATACAAACATACATCAATGGAAATTAAAACAAAAAAATACATTTAAATTTATTGTGTTAATTGTGTATACATCTATGTCAATAAAATGCATAAAAATTGTGGTATTAAAATAATAATAGAGATAGGACAATCTCGTACTTGTCGTAAATATATCATTTGACTATCCTACTAGTATTATTTTTCATGATTAATATTAAATTATAATAATTAAACGCCAAAATGAAGTCTTTATACTTATTGCTTCAATATTAGCCTACCAACCCTTAAATTGTATACTAATATACTAAAATAAACCAATTTAGAGCAACTTCCTGAATGACTTTCAGTCATAGCTCTTACCACTGTAGAAGCTTCTACTTAACAAGTAGATAACGAAAGTTCTTTCGGACAAAGTTAAGAATGCTGTGACCAATGAACGATGTGGTTTCCAAAAGGATGTAATGACAAAAATAGAGAAATATATTATTGAGGTGGTTTCGGCATATCAAGCGGTTGAATGAAAGTAAACTGGTGAAAGAGATATATATACAGCCAACTTGGAAGGCAATATTGACAGAGAACGGCCACCAAGTACTCTTTCAGATCACATCGAAAATATTCTCTACATTGAAACTGTCTTTGTGGCCTGACGGTTACCACGCCGTACTGCCACGCAGTGGTTCTAGGTTCGATTCCCGGGCCGGGAGAAATATTTGAATGGCCTACATTTATTTCTCTCGTGAGTTTGGGTGTAATTTGTGGTCGTCTATGTGTGTGCCCATGGCACCCACGACACAGGTTTCCCTAGTGCGGGGCCATGTTGAGTGTGTGCGTTATTAATATTATTATTCTTTAAAAAGTCTAGACAGAGTGGTGAAACCACCCTAGTTATTATATAGGCACATTTGCAAAATTACAACTTTTCAGGAACATTTTTATGTTTGAATTGGAGAGTTGTAAAATTTGACATAAATTAAATACGTAATTTGTTTCATTCGTACCTATTATTTTTATGATTTTCATGTAATAAAAGCACTTTTGACGTGCGACCCGATTATATGTAGTTTATTATATACCAAAGACACAAAATATTGATAACTGTTACGCGCTTGCGCACAGCATCCGATTCTTATTTCGTTTCGAATCTGATACTATACAAATCTAGAAAACCCGGACCCACTTCGAATATCGCTTGTACACTAAATCCGAATCCGAGAAAATTCGAATATCGCTGGTACACCTAAAGATAAAATGACACTACCACTGGACACCTGTAACAGTCCGGACCGTCATTTCTCGGATTCTCAGTCGGACGAGGTGAGCAAACGCTCTGAACACGTGAATGAATGAAATATACTTATTGCACATTAAAAATTACAATGACAGCCATTGACTTACAATTATATGGACGTCGGGTCCGCGCTAAAAAGTGTCGGCACTTGTAAGGCGCTAAAATCGTATACAGAGCGCGACACTCCGCTTTAGTCTTCATTTGTTCTACGGACAGCGCGATACTGTGATGACATAACAATTTAAATTTCGAATAGGTTGACTTGGGACATTTTTTTCGTGGTTTTTGTATTAGACCCGCCGTCCATTTATTTGTAAGTCAATGATGACAGCATATAAAAGTAATGTAATTATCTCAGAGTAAGCAAACGTACAACAGACGGCCTTATATATATATACATAGTTGTAATTTCTTCCAGGCAACCATACCATGTTTGTGTAATTTAATTATTGATACATTACACCTTAGCAAAAGAAGATGCAAGCAATAACTAGTCTAGAGATGTTCGTTGAATAACTGCCCAATAGTAATTGCAGTAAATATTGCTTTCAAATTATACTATAATCAGAGTTCGTAATAATAGCTGCCTATTCTCGTAATAATAAGCTTTTACAGCTCTATTGTTGTTATTAACATTGATTAGTGAATTAGAACATAACGTAACTTCATTTCTATTGTCTTTTAGATGTAATAAGAGTTATAACTTATAACTGATTATATATTACGCATTGAGGTGTTACTAATTTCTATTACTAGTGTTGAAGACGAATATAAAAATCCTTAATACTTTTTAATACCTCTCTAAATACCTTTTAAAATGCCTGTTCTTTAATGCATAATTGTCCATAAAGTAAAAATTGTTATGTTTTTTACTGTTGATAACATCTGAAGATACTTTAATGGAGTCGAGTGACCTTTATGTTTAAAAGTGGTAAAAAAGTGAGTAAGTAGGTCAAGAAAGGCGTCATGGCTTAGAGCGTTGCGTTTGATAAAAAATATTTTTGTTTCGTCTCTATGCTTTATATACTAAAACATTATTATATCATAATTCTAAGTATTTATAATAAAAACCTAAAAGATCATGGTCCATGATCTGTATGCATACAAAAATCGCATTAGTTTTAAATTAACGCACGCATTCAACCCCGCATTAGGGAAACCCTGTGTCGCGGGTGTCATAGACACACACATAGACAACCACAAATTACTCTCAAATTCACGAGAAAATAAATGTAGGCCATACAAATAGTTCTCTCGGCCCGGGAAGCGAACCTGGGACCTCTGCGTGGCAGTCCGGCTTGGTAACCGTTCGGCCAAAGACGCAGTTATAAACTAGATTTTAGTTTATGTAAAAACATATTGAAAATCTACGGGGTTCACAAGTAACAAGGCAATTAATAATTGATATATAAATTTTAAAGTACACATATTTTTCTATAAATCTAGCCATATGTCATTTCTTTAGGCCGTGGGAACGGTTTTAATACTTTGGTGGGCCGTGATCTTTGAGTACAAAGCGAGCTTATAAATAATGGTATTTCATCTGATCTTTAAATAACCCAGAGAAAAAAAGGCTTCAAAACAACACATATACACCATATTCTAGATTAAATATGCATTTCTGTAGATTAAATATGCAAACTTCCGGAGAGTTTAAAGAATGAGCCAAACAACAAATATTTTTTTTAAAACTTAAAGAAATTACTAATAAATAAAAGCTACTATAATATAAAATATTTTTTAGAAGATAAAATTCTTGGCACCCGAGTTTAAGTTTTAACATACTTGTTTAAATTTAGTTTTAGTTACAATAGAAAAAGTACAAATTATAAAAACATTTTATTATATAAAACTGTTGGTAGATATTTAATTAATTACATATTAAGTAAAAGTAACAATTATGACTAGTCCTCTCTTCTACTATTTGCTGTACCCTATTCAGGGTCCATAATTTAATGTATATTATGTTATGGTATGCAAATAAATGAGAATAAAGAATAAAGATCCTAAAGATACTACATTGAAAGTTCTGAAATACTACAATGTGTATGGTAGTAGAATTTGGACATACATCATCCACTAAGAATTAAATAAGTTACTAGGATCTGTTGTATAAAAATTACAAAGGAAAGAAATAAATAAACGCTTTGTTTCAGTAATATAATCAACTTTACATTATGGACAATGGATGTGACCTCCTATTAAGTTTATCAAACGTGTGTCCTGACACATCTCCTGTGCCTCCTGAGGCACCGCTCTTCCATATCTACAAATGCACATTTTACATTTTAATTTACAATTTTGCTGTTAAATTTCAATTTTAACTTTTACATTTCCAAAAAAGTGAAGTAATAAAACGATATCTCGCTTTCGATCAATACAAAACCTGGGATGATGTGTGCACAAACGGTAGTAGGTACAAATTTAACAATATTTAATTTACGATTTGTGACAAACACCGAATGTAAAGGTAAGTAATTGTGTTTTATGTTGCTTGAGGTGGGTAACGCTAAAGTATCTTGTTATAAATAAGTAAAGATTTTCTAACTTTAGTACTTTGTAGTTACTTAACTCCATTTTTAAAATAAACAGATTAAATTTTAATTCAAATTATTTCTTTTTACTTCAAAACTTTCTTAAATTTTGAATTACATGGCTTTGCTATTTTATTATTTTTTTTTAATTTTATTGAGGGACAAACAGTTACACATAATGAGAAAAAAATACGTATTTCAAATGAACAATATCTAAACGTAAATATACTTTAAACAAAACAAAAAGGTAACCCGGTAAAATGATACAATTTATACACAAATTGGTGCAGCGAAACTAAAAACTGCATAATGCAGCACCATCCGTATCCCAAACCTGTGTCTCGAACACTTTGTTTATCATAACATTAAGCTGTTGTAATGTTTAGGTAACAATAATAGCATAAAAGCATCGTAATAGTTTATAATATTTGACATCTTCACAATAGCATATACATACAAGTCTTAACAAGTACTGATATTCTGCCATATTGAAAATGGGCTGTTGCAAGAAATAAATCACTGTAGTTTTCGAAAATTTTGCAAATCCCTCTCACTCTTACTTTCATAGAATCCGCTAGGCCTGCGCGTGCGCGTCCTATCGTTTTCCGTCGATATGTAGAGTAGTGCGGTATTTAACAACTAACCGCCAATACGCGCGACCACTTACATACCGGGCACCCGGCTGAACGCATTCATACTCTTGCCTCTATTAAAAAAAGTGCGTACATTATTACTTCTTTTTATAATAGTGTATCATCCTTGAAACATCCTTAGATATCGTAAATAGGGCTGTAGTTTTTGGGCGCGATTGTATTATTGGAATTTGCAACAAAAACAAAAATCAAAATTCAAAACATTATTATTATTCAGAAATCTGAATCATAATAATGAACACAATAATTCTGAAAACGTGATAAAGTTTCGAAAATGCTAAAAGGCCAAAAAACACTGACCTATATTCTCAATAAATTATAAGTGATTTCCCCTACTGTTGTGCCAGTGACAAGTGATAATAACCAATAATTAATAGGTTAAGTCACGGTGAAGTAGCACTTATCAATTAATCGATGTTTTCAAATTATAGGAGTTCCTGCACTTGCGTGGATGGACGTGGCTTTCGACGGAAATTGTGACAAGTAGAGATGTGGACATTGTGACAATACGGAGTAGTGCAGTGACAATAGAGCATTAGACATTAAAATCAATGGACAAGTGTTATATGTGATCGAGCATACAGTGTTACAATCATCATGTTGCTGCTTAAGGTGAGACAGTCACTTGCTTTTGTATGATAAATTTAATGAAAGTTTACATCTGTAAAAGTGTTTTTTTTTGCTGTTAATGTACTTTCTAATAGATATATTAACAGTAATTTCTTTGCTTTTACAAATTAATAGCGCCAAAGTTAACGTCACATTTTGAGTGACACACAAGTTGATTCCTCTCTTTTTTAAGAAGGAGCAATTTCTCAGTTCAACTGTATTTTTTTTGTTACTACTACATTTGTGAACCAATTGTAGTAGTGGTCGCACTTAAATTTGAAGAAAATTCTACCACTAAGGGTGGCAAAATAGAGGATGATTTCGGTTTATTGGATTCCATCCACTTTCCGTTAACCGATTTCAATATTCAAACTTAGCAAATAGATGTAATTCAACGATTTTTTGATGTTAATTTTCTTTCTATAAAAAATTAATTATCTCTTAGTTTTCCAAACGTCCACCCATTTTGAGGACCTATTAAGTATTTTAGACCATTCCATGATCATGGTGAGAGTATTTCAAAGCGAGATTGAAATTTGATATGATCAGTAAAAGTAGTCTGTTCCGTAATCACTCGATTACTCGTGCAACCAATAACACTGAATATTACTGTACTCGTATGTTTATAAAGTAAATGCAAAATATTGTCAATGGTATTTGTACTGTATTTTGTCTATACACATTCATATTAACAATGTAAGGAAAAGGGCAAATTCTCACATACACATCAATTCTCTAGAGTCGAAAATACCCACTCACATTCATTAATTTCATTAAGAGTGTGTACATCCCTTCAAATACATTAATTAATTGCGGCAAATGAAAACGGTTCACATACATTAATTCTGTAATGAAAGAGTAAACGTCTTAAGTAGAAGTATTATCTATATGAAATGGTAAAACCCCTCTCCTATCCATTAAGTCTCTAATGAGAGACTCGTCTTCTCATATTTATATTGACACATTTATATGGTGAACGCCTGAGGAGTGGAATTCCGTGCCTACAGGCTTATTTCCCTCATCGTCACTTTCCAACAAAAAAAAAGGTGAGATCGAGGTTAAATGCGCATTTTTTTATGCAAATATTATACTAAATCCTGGATATGGTATATACGAGGTAAACTCTTTTCCTATAGCATTAATGTATAGTTAGGAAATGAAACTATTTTCCCGGATTTAAATCGCGTATATTTGTTTTTTCTAACAAACCAACGTTTCGGGCGCTTTACAGGTCCCATGGTCACGGTTGATACATTGGTTTGTTTGAAAAAACAAACATACGCCATTTAAATCCAGAAAAATAGTTTCATTTCCGATGTGTAACAATGGTAAAAATTTAAGAACTCGATATTAATGTATAGCGTTTTTATTGTGTATAATGCAATTAATGAAACACTGCCCAAATGCAGTTTGGAGACTTCATATGATTTCGAAGAGTTTAGAACCTTCTCTGAACTACAGATTTTCTACGATGAACGACGATGTTTTTTAGTCACTATTAGACCGGTGATATTTAGAAATCCTATAATAAAATAAACTATAATTAGCGGTATAATAATTGTAGTATCAATGATAGTCTACATGTGAAAACTCTTAGCGCATTGCAAGTATTAACTTGATGTTCTCCAATATAATTTTACTACTGTTTTATTGAACTCAAGTACCCTAATGCATGACATAAGCTTTTAACATCACTGCTCTTATGCCTCTCGAAACATAGAGGATTTACCATAACTGCCCTATTTATTTACGAGTAGCAATTGTGGTAAAGAAATAAGTAATAAAGATAGTGCTATGCAAAGAAAGGCTTTGCTGGTTTATCTTCTAGGTGATTTATATGATACTTGGAGAAACCTTAAAAGGAGGCACATTATTGGGTGCTATTTATATGGTTTATTAGCTATCTGTGTATATTTTTCTTTTAGAGTTTAATTGATGAAAACCTAATCTTTCATTTGTTACATTTCACGTGTGTTAGTGTTGTTTATATTAAATCATTATATTTAATATAAACAACAAGAACATACTTAAACAAAGATATTTTCTACCTTTAACTCTCCTAGTTAAAATTACAAAGTTCTAGGGGCCGTGATCTGAGGCATTATGCCCAGGATGTAGGAAATATTTCCTATCTGAATGCTTCAGCTTATTCTTGTTATTTAATATAAATAACAAGTATTCTCGTGAGAACTGCATTATTCTATGCAGAACAAAAGATATTTTCTGCCTTTGATTAATTACTCTCCTAATCGAAATACAAAATTTTGTCAAGGGCCGTGCTCTGAGGCATTATACCAGGAGATATTTTCCTCTTTTATTACTTATGCTTATTCTTGTTATTTAATATAAATAACAAGTACTCACGTGAAACTTGTATTATCCTACGCAGAACAAAACAAAAAAAGAAATTTCTACCACTAAATCTTCTAGTCTAGATATTAAGATATTAAATTTAGAGAGCAAGAGATGTGTGCTCTTTCAATAAATGAGCTTATTTTTTGGCAGAAGTAATTGCAATTCAGTACTTTATTCTTCAACAAACCTACTACAATGTAACTTACGTGTTAACATAAACAATTAAAGTATTTCTGATATTATTTTTAACGCACTTCAAAAAAGGAGGAGGTTCTCAATAAGACTGAATTATATGTAATATTCCACCTCTAAGGGGAGCTAACTAGCTAGCTAAATATATACAATCCACGAACTTTTGAGGTTGGTTTTTTTATAGAAAGGTTCTAATTATGTCAAGTGTAAAGTCAAACCCCCGCTCAGTCTCAGTCATATTAAGCCAATATCCACCGTCTAAAAAGGAATTGAGCACAAATTAGTTTTTTTAATGCAAAATAGAAGCATGTTTGGCTACAAACTTAGTTCATGTGCATTAATATTTAGATATTTTGTTTAGAAAAGATTTAGAGTAGTTAATGTACATGTACTTACAGGTTGCAACGCCCTAGCAGGGTCCATGTTGAACGAGACATTAATGTGACTGATGACAGAACGCCTTTGTCTAAAAAATACCAATTCCGAAACATAAATACGGTATTCAATTTATTTCTCGTACGCATTAAGAAGGAGGAAACAAAGAGCTTCGTGACTTTGATGGGTTTAAATTGGAAAGTCCATTAAAAAGGTTCTCGGATCAATCAGACATTGCTTTTGAAACGTATTTAAAGGATTTTGCTTAGATATCCCTGGGCTCTGTTTTTCTGGAACCAAGTCCCATTGTAAAACGAGTACATAATTTTTTATCTTAAACTGTGTACATGAAGTTAGACTATTGCGGAACTGTCTACATAAACTTATACGACTATATTGTACATAAAAATATATGCGCTTGACCAACGCACGGCTACATTATCCCTATTAACAAAGATAATATTGATTAGATGGATAGATAGTGTGAAAGATGATATATATCATTTCCTTTATAAAATATGATTAAGAGAGCGAACAACGAGGTTGTTTTGGCAAGGAACTTCAATGAAAGTAGAAGATAATATACTATACTGACTTTTAATAATGATGTAAGACCTGGAGGATAATGAAACTTCTTTTATATTAGATGAATATCCTATTTTTTTAATGTTTAACTGCCTATTCCACAATCCAGCGGTGAGCGTTGGGTGGACGACATCCGACGACACGGAGGTCGGAGCTGGATGTGTCGGGCACTAGATCGTCAGGAGTGGAGGAAGAGGCCTATGTCCAAGATTGAATCACAAAAAGGCCTCCGTGATGATGATTCCATAATAAAATAAATTTATCTCTGTAAACACCTCGAAGGTACTATACCTTGGAAAAATCGTAAGCCCCCAAACTCTGTGAGTATTTAATTTCAACACACAGTGTCAATTGTACCACATTTAGACCGGAACAACTTAAACTCTACGTTATTAATATATTTCTACCAATTACACTAAGTGACGTAACGTTCTGACACGAAAGCTTGAAAGAGGATGCGTTTGCGCAATAAAGTGAAGGGCTAATGTTCTTGTCAACAGGTTTTTGGTAGATTCCTTTATGATGTTGAAGTACGTAAAAGTTAAGATAAAAAAAATGTACAATAAAGTGTCTTACAGGTTCTTTAAGGGTCAATTCTGTAGCAATACGCATGTGTTAAGTTTTTTAATGGTTTTATTTGCAGGAAAAATTGGTACATATGTACGCTACTATAACCAAAATTACTCCTTCTTTCTGTACCCCAAATGTTGATTAATTATAAAGGAAAATATATCCTTTATAATTAATCAACATATACATATTACTTTCACATGTAATTATAAACGGGCCTCAGATTACTATTATTCTTCTGTATAGGTATTTCCGTATTTACGTAGAGGTCCGGAAATTGACACATAATAATTTTATTTTAATTATGCGTTTTCGAAATATGACTTTTCGCATAAAATTAAAACTTTTTCATTTGTGCATTTATGGGGTTATTATGCAATATACTTACAAAAATTTTGCTTAAAATTTCACCTCTATCCTACTTATAAAAATAATGAAGGTCCTCAGTGTGCGGTTTATTAAATTGAACAATAAAGTATGTGATGTAATAAAAACCAGCAGGAATACGGAACATGCAAATTCAAAAATTTGCTCTTCGTTTTCATATTTATATGATTTAGAAATAGCTGAAACTTTTCATATTAACAATAATAATACTAGGCAATGAGTTCTTAGCATTACCGTGAATTAACCCGACATCTCTTCATTTAGCACTGATTATCTGACACTTACAGTAACGTATTGCTTTTATTTTAATAATAATAATAATAATAATAACGCACACACTCAACATAGCCCCGCACTAGGGAAACCCTGTGTCGCGGGTGCCATGGACACACACATAGACAACCACAAATTACACCCAAACTCAGGAGAGAAATAAATGTAGGCCATATACATATTTCTCCCAGACGGGGAAGCGAATCCAGGACCTCTGCATGGCAGTCCGGCTTGGTAACCGTTCGGCCACAGAGGCAGTTATATTT